GGCCCTCATTCACCCCTTCGGCCCTCGCAGCTTGCACCCGCTGCTCCATGCCATCGGTAGCCAGGCGAAGAGAGTTCTCAGCCTCGGCAAGTTTCTTCCTGAGGAGGGCGGCCTCCCCCTCAGCTGCGCCCTTTGCCTCCCTCATTTGCTCCACCCTCCGGAGGTGCTCGCAGAGGCCCATGAAGCTCTACAATTCACGAAGGCGAGAATAAGACATGATGAACACATTACAAAAAAAAGGCACAACAACGAACAAGGAAAGGATGGGTATGACTTACGGAGGCAGCGTTCAGAAGGACCTTCGCCTCGAGGGATCCCTCGTCCAACCTGGCGAGGGCCAAGCGGTCAGCCGATGGCAGCATCAGGCTCATCAGTGCCGAAGGGTTCAGGCTGCCCTCCAATACAGAAGCCCCCTTCGGCACTAGCGCCTCCAGCTTCTCCCGCCCGAAGAATTCCTGGTTGATATGCTCCTGGGAGGTGGGGGCAGAGGCGTGCCCTTCATCCACGATTACAACCACATCGGTGGTCGGCTGCTTGGCGGGGGCGGCAGTCTTCGCCTTCTTTGCCGGAGGCTCGGTCCCCTTGCCGGCATTCTTCTTCTTCGCGGGCCCGGCACCCCTGCACCCACCAGCGCCAGCACCGGCAGCAGCAGCTTGGGAGGGCTCCTCCCTGGCAAAAGTGCCCGCCGGGGCCTTCTTCTTCCCTTTCGCATTCTTCAAAGCGAAGAGGGAGCCTACGTCCATGTTATTACCTGCAAGCAAAAAAAACACAGGAGGGTTAGACTGAAGGGTATCAATTACAATGGCATAAAAGATAGGAAAGAAAAGGAACATATGAAGAAAAACTATCAAGGCACAAATGAACCCTTCGATAATCACCTCCAGCTCCTTCGAAGACTCGATCGAGGGGAGGGTATCTTTCATCCGAAGAGCCCCTCGGTCTGAACTGCCGGAAGCCCAGGCTAAGCAATTCCTCGGGGAGGGTGACGTCTTTAATCTTGACGTGCTTGTCAGACCCCGCCGGTTTTTTGGCAAGCACTTTGCCATTCTTCTCCAGGGCTGCGTTCCCTACCTTCGGATGGCGCCGGAAGCTGTTGCGGAGCTGGGCCGGGAAGGGGTTCTCCTCGAGGCGAATGTAGCAGAATCGCTCCTTCCACCCCTTGTGGGACGAGGGCACGTCGTCAAAGAGTCTGAACTCCGGTACCTGCTGAAGGTTGGCAAAGCCCTCGGCATTTGAATGCCCCCCCGGCATAGGTTAAAGGACATGAAGAACTGGTCGAGGGTAGGTTCAACCCCCCCGGCTCCGGCACAGGGAGAGGAAGCCGGCCACGTAAGAGTGGTTGTTGGGCGTTAGCTGGCAGGGGGCCAACCCCACGAACCTCAAATACTCCAGCAAGAAGGGATGAAGCGGAAACCGAAGCCCCATCTCCACCGAGAGAGTGTGAATAGCAAAACACCCTTCGGGCGCATATCGCAATAGATCATCTGCCCTGGGCTCCACCACGCGCGCTGAAGGGCCAACCAACATCTGAGTGGCCTGGTACTCTGCCGGGGATGCCCTCGTCTTCAGCTCCAGGGCGGCGGTGTTCAGGAACGAGTGGCCCTCAGGTATGCCTACCGGCCGCCCGGCGTCAACAGCCGCTTGTTTCTTCCTTGGGGCCGCCTTCATCTTCTATTTCTTCCCGGGAGCCACGCTAATAGGCGTCGGGTCCAATGGCCGGGAGGAGCTGGACTCCCCGGCACCACGAGGGGGAAGAACGGCAACCGTCACCTTCATCCTCTCCCTCTCCTTTTCTTCTTCGGCAGTTTGCACGGCGAGGGCGAGCTCTTCGTCCTCGTTTACTTGCTTGAAGTCTTCGGCTTCGACTTCGGTCTGAAGGTCTTTCTCCACCTCCATGGCCACTGCAGCATCACCACCCACTGAGGACTCCCCGCTCGAGGACTCGACATCTGAGCACGTCTCCATCTCAACTGAAGGCTCCCCCGAGATATCCTGGGAGTCGCTTTGTGAAGACATCTTCCCGCTAGCCGAGGGCTCGGAAATGCTAAGTATCCTAAAAAATTCTAACTCCTAGCCTAAGGGCACAGGGCACAGCTAGCTAGGAGGAGAAAAGCAGGGGGGAACTAACCTTAAAGAGATGGGAATCAACCGAAGGCTGGAGTTTCTCTCTCTAGAAAAAATCCGGCAGAGCTTCGCTAACAAGATTTCGCACAAGGATGAATGTCCGGCCATGGGGTATTTATAGGCAAAAGGATCCGGGCTTGGGCCTGGAAACCGGGCCTCCGGTTGGACTGCCATCATTACCAACCGAGGTTTCACCCAATCGGTGACGCCCGCCCACGGGCAGCCAACGAGCATGCACCACGTGCCCCCCCCCCCCCCAACGGCTATATCCTGACGTTACATATTCCAACGGCTATATTTCCAACGGCCATATTCTGGGAGCCCCCGGGCTTTTTACTTCACCCCACTCCATCTAGAAGAGCCCCCGGGTACACTTACCCGGAGACACTCCCGGGTTGTGTCCACACTCTACATCACAGATGCCTTCGGATCACTCCTTCAGAAGCCCAAGGCTTCATATCAGGCCATCCCTCGGGGATCCCCCCTCAGCACTTTGAGGGCCGGGTAGCCCCCGAGGAGTATGCCTCATTGGCGGATAGACTACGACACGCAGGTAATAGGAGCCCTCGGATATCCTCATCACCAACTAATCAACAAACAGGGGACCCCCCGATAACAATTCGACTACTGGCCGCATTCATTACGTCCTCGATCCCCAGATTGAGGGACCCCCCTTCGGCACCTCCCAGGACATCAACAACAAGCCTCCGGCTAATCAACGCATGAGCCCTCAGAACAAGGAGAGCCTTCGGCATCAGCATTATTCTCCATTTCGAACCAAGGTTTCACATTTTCGATTCATCGTTGGGGGAATTCGGTGCACTCTTTTTCCCTCATTAGGATTTTTTCCCACAAGGTTTTTCCTAATGAGGTTTTTAACGAGGCATCCCCCCAAAATGAAACGAAAAGCGTCAGCCTTCGGCCCAAAACAACAGCGCAACTACTCTACTCCTTTTCACCACTTTGCAAGTGCCTCAAGGAGTGGGGACTGGAGGACCCCCTCGGGAAAAATCACAAAAAACACAAACATGACCCCTCAAGTCCCGACATGTGGGTAACTGAGGGACTGCCCTCGGCAGAATAAACAAACAGCAGACTACCCACAACTCTACAAACTACAAACGGAACAACGGCAGAGGACAAACACAATTACTCCTTTTCCCTCAAGTACCTTTCGGCAAAAGGAGTGAGGGACTCCTGATGGAGTATATGGCACGGGAACCCCCGACCCACAGACTCCTACTACTCCAATAAAGGCCCAACAGGCTCAGAAGGCCCGACATGCCCAAATCACAGCGCCCAAAGTACAAAGCAGCCCACAATGCGCACCAGGGGTGCCTTCGGCCCCCTGGCCGAAGGCTCTAACTCTCACAGGAGGGCCAAGACAGCAAAACAAAGTTACTGGGAAAAACGGCGAAAATCAGTAGCCCTCGGCACCTGGAGCCCTCGGCACCAAGGGGGTCCTCGGTATTCAGAGCCCTCGGCTGGTCCTCTACAGCCGAGGGCACCTTTCCCGACATGATATCCGCGTCACATGCGTACAGATCGTCATACCCTGCACAACGTCCCATCCAACAGCCGCATTAAATGCGGCCACATGCGGTTGCCAGCGCCAACCAGTTGAGGTGACCCCTCGGCCAATGAACGCTTGACACGTGTCCCTGTCCGGCATTTATTGCTACTATAAATAGCACCCCATTTCCTCATTTGTAACCACGCTGAAAACGCTCAACACTTTCCAATATACTTTCTCTCTCTATACTTACTTGCTCTGACTTCTCTCTTGCTATTCCCCGTAATAACCCCTCGGATAAGCTACCTCCCGGGTACACTATCCATCATTTGTGATTCCTCCCCAAACGCAGCTTCTCTCCCTGCGATGGAACACATGCCTCCACCTTCGACCGTAGATGCCCTCCCGCTCGACGCCTCGCCTCTCCTCCAGATCTCCGCCTCACTCGCCTCGCCTCGTCTCGCCGTCCAGATCTCCACCTCGCCTCACCGTCCAGATCTCCGACTCGCCTCGCCGTCCAGATCTCTGCCTTGCCTCACCGTCCAAGTCGCAGTTCAACTCCGCCGTCGCAGTCGTACTCGAGCAGATCACACTTGGATTTGAGTAGATTATTTTATCAGAATTTATTGTTTATTTATTGTCTACTTATTGTCTATTTATTGTCTATTTAATGTCTGATATTTCCTAAAGGTAAGGGTATTGTGGTCAATGCAGGTGTAGTTGAATCTTACGCGAATCTTTGGTCTTAGTTTTGGAAAATCCGTACGTTTTGCTCCTATTTGTTGAAATCTCCCAAAATAATACTCCGTCCATCCCACTGGACTTTGCAAACTTTCCTTTTTTGTTTGTCCCAAAAAACTTTGACACTTTCCTGTTACAGCAATGTTTTTGTGGCTCTGTTCATTTCTCTCTCGTTTGCACAAACCTCAACCATACAAATTTTATTATTCTAATTTTCCACCTAACATCGACTTGGCAAAGTTGAGTGGGATGGAGGTAATATTTTATTCCCTCCGGTCCTAAATGAAATTCACACTTTGACTTCACACAAATTAAGGAAATAAAATTGACTTTACTGTGGAGTACATTAATGTGACACTGTTTGGCACTGTTTTACACTGTTTTGCACTGTTTTGATGTAGATAATTTACCAAATAATGAAGGGAGAAGAAGTGTGAAGTTTATTTTGGACCTAACGAAAAATGAAAGTGTGAATTTCATTTGGGACCGGAGGGAGTATACTCTAACTTAAGTGAATATGAAAGAAAAAATCAAACCCATTGGAATTTATTGACTTGACCAGATATTTTTTGTTGTTGGTGGACTAAATAGTGAAATATTCCGTATAACTTATCCTAACTAGGTGTGGAGACCGGAGATCTTCCTAAAGAGGTATAAGCATGTGGTGAGTGCAGACGACGGTCAATGACCAGTCTGCTTTGCAATTGATGTAGCACAACTTGACAACTGAATCCTCTCTGTTGGTGCTTGCTCTTCTTCAATGGCTTCTGCAATGCTAAATGGGGGTGCAAACCTCACCCTCATTAGCGGAATCTCCTCAAACCCAAAACGGTCAGGTTTTCTTCTCCCAAAATTTCACGCCCACAATTTCCCCACCTTAACCTCAGTTTCTTACGGCCACAAGATCTCAGTTAGGGTTGCGGAGAGAAAGACCCTTACCCCAAAATGCAGTCTTTCTACTTCTGCCAGACCAGCCTCACAGCCAAGATTCATACAGCACAAACAAGAGGCGTTTTGGTTTTACAGATTTCTCTCAATTGTGTATGACCACATCATAAACCCTGGACACTGGACTGAGGATATGAGGGATGATGCTTTGGAACCAGCAGATCTGTGTGATAGGAATTTCAGAGTGGTGGATGTGGGTGGAGGGACAGGTTTCACTACTTTGGGGATAGTTAAGCATGTTGATGCCAAGAATGTGACCATTCTTGACCAGTCTCCTCATCAGCTTGCCAAGGCTAAGCAGAAGGATCCTTTGAAGGAATGCACCATTATTGAAGGGGATGCTGAGGACCTCCCTTTCCCCACTGACTCTGTCGATAGATATGTTTCTGCTGGCAGGTATATATATATATATCTTGTTGAATGCACCCTGGTTGTGTCTCTACTTTTTAATCGTTGCTCCTTATTACCTTTTTAATGACCATGTCTACTTTTGGTTGGTTTTGTTACTTGCTTACTGCTTAAAATTAAGATTAAAAACATTCATCATATTTCTTTTTTACTTGGCACTTTCCAGTCAAATCAAACGCAAGAACCGCACAAGAAAATAACTTCTGTTGGACTTCTCCCCTTTACAGCTTTTTCAAGATCCAAGCATACTCTATATGCTTTTCTCTTGTTATGCTAAATTGACCTATTTTAAGGATATATTTATCACCCTAGTTTCCACAGTCTTTCAAGCCTAGCCTAACATTGTGCTATATAGTTATGAATGAATAGCAAGTCAATTTTTTGTCTCCCTTAGTTTGTGACTTTTTTATGAGATTGTGCAGGTCCATTTTGAATGCAGTAAATGCTGAGTATAGAAAGTAGGGAGGAAAAGTTGAGTGAGATTTGGAAGGAATGAAAATCTCGAGGAAAACAAAATAATGTTTTAAACACCAAGTATAATTTAATATTTGTTTGAATTTGTCTTTATTTATCTATTTCTAATTCTCTACGGAGTATATACTAAGTAATCTAAACACATGTAGGAATTTTAAAGAACATGAATCACAATTCATTTTCCTTTGCATGAAAGCATAAGAGAATAACTTTCTGCAGTTTTAATCTGGTCAGCAGGGAGAAAAGACTCTGACTTGAACATTGCCATTTGTTAATTTTGAAATTTTATATGGAGTTATAAGAGCTTTCAAGATGCTGCTGTAGGTTCAAGAATGTATGGAGCCTGTTCATATTAAGATTCGGTATGGTAATGGTTATTTGGCTGAAATATTGGCTGATTTTGCTAATTTTTCTGAAATGAAAACCATTTGGTGATGCCCATTTCAGCCAACTAAGCAAGGATGTGTCTCTTCACTTGAAAAATGTCATCTGATCAGCTTATTGATTTTTTTTTTAAAGATTTGGTATGTGGTCTGAATCGTTTTGGTATGATTTGGTTTGAGCCAAAAAAGTGATGGCCCGCAAAAGCTACTTTTCGGCTGATAAAATAACCACTTTTGGCCACCAAGCTGAGCCCATATGTGCTAATTGGTTTTGTGGGGAGATAATATTTGGTAGAATTATACAGAAGTTTATTGACATTGCATTTCTCTCAGCATTGAGTACTGGCCAGACCCGCAACGTGGAATCACGGAAGCTTACCGGGTTCTTAAACATGGAGGAAAGGCGTGCTTGATTGGTCCAGTCCATCCAACATTTTGGCTCTCTCGCTTCTTTGCAGACGTGTGGATGCTCTTTCCAACGGAGGAAGAGTACATCCAGTGGTTTAAAAATGCTGGATTCAAAGATGTCCAGCTTAAAAGAATTGGCCCGAAATGGTATCGCGGGGTTCGCAGACATGGGCTGATCATGGGATGTTCTGTTACCGGTGTAAAACCTGCACCTGGGGACTCCCCTTTGCAGGTAATGTGTTCCTGACTATTTTCCCACATATGCATCTTTGCCTTTAGGGTCCATTTGGAACCCGTGAAATACATGGAGAAGATAACATGGAGGGAAATGGGAAGGGAAGGAGAACTGGGGGAAAATAAAACTTAAATACAATAAGTTTATTTAAGATATTTGCGTAGAGTCATTTTATTTTTTACTTGCATCTTATGACTCCTCTTTATATAAAAACTATGAATTCTGAACAGATGAAACAATTTGAAAAATACTAGTCATATTTCAAACACAAGTAATTTCCTTAGGACCTGTTTACTTTGCTGTTTATACACGGTTTGCTTGTTATGAAGGGTGAAGTAAACGCCAGTTGACGTGTAAATATATGCTTACTAAGCTGTGACACCTCTTAATCGATGCTTACTAAACACAGCCCCCCATGTATTAAACAGCCGGTAACTTAAGCACTTCACAATTACCAGCTTGTGAAATTTTTATTACGTCTCTGTCCAGCAAACCCTCTTCATCCTTCTATCATTTTGATGACATGTCGTACGCAAATTGGAATCAAAATTTAATCCAAATTTTGGCCTGGTTTTTAAATTGCATATTTATATGACTGCATCCTTTTGTATATATCAAGGAGGAGGATTGAAATTGTTTTACCACTATACGAACATACACACTTTGCAGAGACCTATTATTGCTCCATTATTCACATAGAGTCATAGTGGGACAGAGAATCAATCCAACTGAATAAGAATACTTTACCTTTTAAATCTTAATAGATGGAGAGAATAAATGGAAGGAAGAAAGTAAAAACATGGAGATGGTGTTTCTCAATGGAGGTAGTATTTGTTGAGGGAGATAGAAAACTGTTCGGCGAGAAGGCGCGATAGATGAGATATAACCATAGGCTTTAAGGCTATTTTTGACATTTTAAATATAAGGCACACTTTAAGCCCAATGAAGTAAACATAAAATTTAGTAGGCACTTCTTAGTAAGCTGAGTCTTATTACCCCATTGCTTAATAAGCACCGTTTATTAAAAAACCAAGTAAACATGTCCTTAGTATTTCGTTCCCCTACTTTAGCATTTTTTGTGATCCAAACATCCCCACCCTTGAGATTTCCTCATTTTCATTTACCCCAGTGCCGCAAAGGCTCCCACCTACGGTGGGGTAAGGGGGGGTCGGATGTACGCAGTCTTACCCCTGTACTAAAGCACAAAGAGACTGTTTCCGGATGACCCATAGTGAAAATCCCGTCCAAAATTGCATAGACTGACTGCTGCTTCATAACAAAGAACTGCAGACAGTTTAGTGAGCCATTTTGCTTTATTCCATCATAATCTCAAGCCAAAAAATAATGAATCTTTGGCATTGCAAATGATGGAAAATTATGAAGCAAATTATCAGTGCAGAGTTCTTTAATGATTATTCTTGTCACATACTTCTCCTATTACCATATAGAGCTGAACCCTAAATCTGTAAGAAGATCTTGCCACATACTGAATGTTCTGTTTCTTGCATGACCAAGTTATCAAATCATTGCGGTTGATCCAACCATAAACTTTAGACAAGCATCGGATAAGACATCCCTTCCTACTCCAATGCAAGAGACATGAATTTATGGTTAACTGAGTTATCATGCCTAGGAGCCTTATGAGCCAGATATTCTACCAAACAATAACTTACAGTAACAGAAAAAATAGTGCAAAAGTTACTCTCCTTTTCTGGGCTAAATTGCTCAAATTCAAGTACACGTGAATTTTGAATTTATTTTTAATATATTACCCGTTTACTATCTCCGTTTTTTAAAAAGTTGCACCAAAGGTTTTTCACATAGATTTATTTTCATTTTCGTTTACCCCAGTGCCGCAAAGGCTCCCACCTACGGTGGGGTAAGGGGGGCGGATGTACGCAGTCTTACCCCTGTACTACAGCACAGAGAGACTGTTTCCGGATGACCCATAGTGAAAATCGCGTCCAAAATTGCATGAACTGACTGTTGCTCCATAACAAAGAAGCGCAGACAGTTTAGTGAGCCATTTTGCTTTATTCCATCATAATCTCAAGCTAAAAAATAATGAATCTTAGGAAAAGTTGCACCAAAGGTTTTTCACATAGATTAAGAATGTTTTTACTTGGACTGAAATTTGATGGTCTGGTCTGAACTGGTATGCTCTGGTCCAGTAAATGTTTGGTCTCCGAGTATTTTATAACTATCCAAGTTTGGTTTGGTCTGAACTGGTTTGGTCTGATCTGGTTTGGGTTTGAAAATAGTCCAAGCAAAAACATCCTAAGAAAAGTAGTATTGCCTCCGTTCATATAATTCCTCTCTTCTTATAAACTTACCTCAATCACACAGTTTTTTGAGGGAGGGAGTTGGAGGTAATAAGTATGGTAGAAACAGTATGAAAGAGAAGTAGAAAAGTAGCGATGGTATGAAGAAAAAAGAATGAAAGAGAGGAGAAAAAGTAGGAAAGTGAAAAGTAAAAAGTAAAAAACAGGAAAGAGAAGTAGAAAAAGTAAGGTAGAAGTTTCTCAAAAAGGAATAAAAGTGAGCCACAATTTGCAACTTGAGCCAATTTTACATTACCAAACAATTTCTTAATTGATTGTGAACTGTATTTGATAAAGTATCCATCACTTTTAATGTGGGATTTTCCAGTAATATTACTAAAATGTAGGTTTTGGACAAAAAAGAAACTTTTTTCTTTGTTTCCAAAACAATGACTAAATAAGTCCTAAAACTGGAAACTAAAAAACGAGTGGTACTAAATTACCCCTCTCAAGCCCTAGTATGACACCCTTCCGGTGATTACGGTGCACTAACTAACTGCAATTAGTGACACTTGTCCAATGGCTACGTCACACCGTGGCTAACCGCCATCCCGGCACTCTAGTCACTACCCCGACGTCCAGTAACCTCAGTGACATAGTCTCCAATTGAAAGCACCCCACCGGATTCACGCTTTGCCCTGCAGTCTTGTTTCGGATGAATGGAGATGAATGTGTTGGTGGGAGGCAGAGGAGCGGACGAGTTATAGACGAGAGGGACGAGAGGAAGCTGGGGAGTTTAGGGATGATTTTTAATACTCCCGTATTTATATTAAGGGCATTTTGGTCCTTTAAATTTAATTTAGTCTCTCTTTTTTTTTCATATTAAAAACTAGTTCTTATTGTTGCCCACTCAAAAGTTGGTAGTATTATTTATGTCATTATTCCTTCTATTATTACACATTCAATGTGAAAGCTTTCGTAGTTAAAATGATTCTTTGATTTGCAGCTTGGTCCTAAGGCAGAGGATGTATCTAAACCTGTAAATCCGTTTGTATTTCTTATGCGGTTCATTCTTGGTGTCATGGCAGCAACATACTATGTGTTGGTTCCTATTTACATGTGGCTCAAGGATCAAATTATTCCCGAAGGTCAACCAATTTAGAGGGTAGTAAATCCTACCTTTAAGTTGTAATTTCTCAAGTTTTTTCATTCCTAGTTGATCAAAATGAATCTCAAGATTAGTAGTCCTCATCTTTGTTGATGGGCACTCTGATCTCTTTCCCCATTTTTTTCATGTAATGTTTGTTTTCATGATTGTATGTGTGAAACATGTTTTAAGAAGTATTGGTCACCTGCAAAGTTGAGTCTTCATTTTGTAAGAAATCTTCATATATACTTTGCACATAGATATATATAATGATAAATTAATGATGTTGTTAACAAAGGAGATATAGTTAAAACATACATTAAGAGAAACTTAATACTCCTTCCATCCCATATTTATCTCTGAAGTACAAATGTTACACGGATTAAGATGGTGGAAAATGTGTGGTGGGGAGTTGTGCAGATGAATGAGAAATGTGTAATGAGAAATGTGTAAGAATGTGTAAAAATGATTGTGAACCATAAATTCTTTGCTAAAAAGGGAAAGGGAAGATAAATTTGGGACATACCGAAAAATAGGGTTGGATTCGGTTTGGGCCACCCGGCCCGTGACCCGGCCCGGCCCGGTACTGTGCGGGCCCGGGACCGGCCCGGTCGGGCGGTCCGGGACCGGGTATGGACCTGAACCGGTGAGAATGGGCGGGACGGGCTCGGTGCTGGATTAATATGACCCGGCCGGGCCCGGCCGGGTCGGGCCCGGGCCCGGGTCCGGTCTTAATTTAAAAAAAAAAATTGGGTCTTGGCTAGTGGGCTACTAGCCGTTGGGGGTGGGGCTGGGGACAACCCAAACGGCTATATAGCCGTTGGGTGGGGTAAAGAGGGGGTCCGGGGGGGTTGGGTGGTGGGGGGGTGGTGGTGGGGGGTGGGGGGTAAAAAAACCTATAAATACTCCTAATCTTAAACATTTTTTCATATCTTTTCTCCAATTCTTCCTAAATCCTATTCTTAACTCTCTACTCTCTAATTCTCTTATTCTCCAATATATTATATTTATTATTAATATATCTACTTTATAGTTTATACTTAAGAAGTTAAGATGGAAAATCAAGATGTCATTATACGGTATAATTTTGATAAGCAGAAGGACTCGAAGACCGGGATGTGGTACGCAATTTGCAAATGGTGCGAGAAAAAATGTAGCATGGGGGTTTCAGGCGGATACGGGATGGCAATCAAACATATGAAGTCATGTGACAAAGCTAAAGGATCGGGAGGTGCGGGAAGTTCCGATTGATTACAATTTTCAAAATGTTTGTCTCTTAAAGTTTGTTTTAATTTTCAAATGTAGTTCCTATTTCATTTCAAATAAATGCACTTGAAGTTTGTTTTTAATACTCGTATAAAACTATAAACTATAAAATATAAATTATATAAAAAAAATTAATCGGTCCGGCCCGAACCGGACCCGACCCGTGACCCGGGCGGGTGGCCCGGCCCGAACCGGACCCGTCCAACCCTCGGGCCGGTCCCGGGCCCATGTCATACAAACCGGCGGCCCGGCTCGGGCCCAACCCGCCCCGAGTCCATCAATACCGAAAAAGAAAGCATGAAGATAATTCCGGGATGGAGGGGGTAACATTTTAAAACATATCATAAGATTTTTTGTTGTTGTTGGACATAACTTGTCATATAAATTCACTTTATTGTATGGAATTAGATACATGAAACATCCTTATACCTTAGTAGATTCTAAACCAATGAAGAGCCTGTTTGGTAACACTGTAATCGACTGAATCGGCCGATCCTACTGAAACTTATGAAATTCTAGTTTAAGTGGTTGTATTGGTTGATTCTGCTGATTTATGAAAAAATAAAATTTAAAATATATTTTAGTAATACAATAAAGAAAAAATCACAAACCCTTTCATGTTGAAGACAAATTCAGTTAGGGGTGGCCTAAATCGGTTCGGCCCAGCCCGTGAACCAGCCTGGCCCGCTACTGAGCGAGCCCGGACCGGCCCGGGTGACGGAAGGGCGGTTCGGGCTTTGAACCGGCCTGATCGGGTAGGGCGGTTCGGGCACCGGCCCTTATATATGAGAACCGGTCCGGTCGGTTTGGGCCCGGTCCGGGCCTAACGGCTACATTTAAAAAAAAATTGACCTCCCAAACAGGCCTTTTGACCGTTGTCCACAAACCCAAACGGCTCTATAGCCGTTGGGAGGCTCCCTGGGATCCCAGGGTGGGGTGGGGGTGGGGGTATAAGAAATCTATAAATACTCCATTTTTTCTATACAATTTACTACACATCTTCTCCAAATATTCCTACTCTCTAATCTATATTCTCTAGTTCTCTACTAATCTTCTCCATCTTCATCTTCTCAAATTTATAACTACATATATTATATTTATAAAATATATTATCTACTTATTATCTACTTCATACTTCGTATATAGTTAATATCTACTTATATTTATATATTACTTATAAAATTTATTATCTACTAATATTATTCTTATTTACTTATATTTACATATTACATATACTTAATATATACTTATATATATTAAAGTATTAAAAATAAGTGTATTACTCATCTTATACTAATATACTTATATTATATATACTATAAACATAATATTATATATTACTTAAGTATATCTATTTATACACTTATTATCTACTTATCCAATTACTTATACACTCACACTCTCATTAATTTAGTTTACACACTCATACATTCTTTATTAATATAAAAGTAGTTAATTGTTTCACTTATCATTTTAGTATTAGTTCATTGCTATAAAAGTAGTTAATTGTTAGTTGTTAGTTTATTGGAAATAGTTACATTAAAAAGAAAGTTGTTACATTTTACTTCCAAAAAAGTTGTTACATAGTTTATTCTTCTATAAAACTAGTTACTTGTTTAATTGTTAAACTAGTTAATTGTTACATTTCTTATTCTCCTATAAAACTAGTTAGTTGTGTAATTGCTAAACTAGTTAATTCTTACATTTCTTATTCTCCTATAAAACTAGTTAATTGTTTAATTGTTAAACTAGTTAATTTTTACTTTTATATTAAAGTTGTTCGAATTTTATAATAAAAGTAGTTAAACTTGTTAAATTTTTATTTATTTATTATTTGTTAAAAAATAGTTCGAATTTTATCACTTACTTGTTAAGTAGTTGCATTGTTACTGTTGAAGGTAAGTCCCGTAGATCCGAAAGCCCAACACAAACTTTGAATATATCAGGAGTGGATCAGAATCAAAGTGTATAACAAAATATAAAAGATGAATCCACTAATACCCAAAAGCCCGCTTGTATTACTTAACATGTCTGATTACAAGGAAACTTCCCGATCGGTAGGTCGGAACAATGCTTTTAATACAGGAAACAAGAGTAATAATGTTATTCTAGAGCTTGAGTATCGAAATGCTAACCCTTACAATGATATTAAACCTTCTATTTATACTAATGGAGAGCATGGACTGCTCTATGTTGATTGGCCGTTGTTCCACCGACTTGATCACCCATGCTTCCACTTGCTGATGTCACAATCTGGCATTAATATCACCTGACCACTTGCTGGTTGCCCGTTGCTCGAACGGGATGCTGGACCATGCGGATGACGCTGTCAAATTGGCCCAAGTATGATATATGGTCCGAACTCCGTTCGGTATCTCTTCTTTCTGGGCCGGCCTTTACTCGGACCGAACCCCGTTCGATATGGATTCTTCACTAGACCTACTCATCATAGGGTAATGGACTCGTTGTTTGGGCCGGGTATTCTGGGCCTTTTTAATCCGGGTATTGGGCCTCCAGGTCAATATCCCAACACAAGTCCCCCACTTCCGATGTCTCGAATGACAGTGAGTGCATTAGGAAGTATGAACACCAATGTCGCAACTGCCGAATGGCGATCAGGGTACAGAAGTGATCAGTTCCCCATACTGTGATTTGACGGCTATCGTTTGCTTTTCCCTATGGTTGTCATGATTACTGTCGTTTAGTCTTTTCATTAGACACGCGTTTAGCTTAAATGGTTCCAGTGACGTGTCGCTCCCTGATTGGTCCTCGATACAGTGGTTTTAAGGCTATAAATTAGCCTTTAGCTTTTCAATTCCGGGTTTCGAATTTTCAATCTTCTTCGCATCGTTGCTCTGCTTCTGAATATTTTTTTCAAGCCTTCGTGTTCAGGTAGTTTTCCTCCCTCTAATTTCTTGCTTCATTTCTGGCTCGGTCGAGATGAGTTCTCAACCGCATTCCCTTGATTCGGAAATGGCCTCTCAAGGAGATGACCGTGATGCCGCCGTCGTGGACGTCATTACAGTTCCATTCGCCGGCGGTTCTACTGAAAAGGCAACAAATATTAGGGCGGAGGCGGAGGACCTTTCTACCAGTTCATCTTCCTCCGGTGAAAGCTCTGATGGCACGAAATCCGAGGATGAAATAGATTTAATGGCGCCTGGGCGCCCGAACGATGTTCCCCGTCACACACTCGACCTAAGTTTAATTAGGGCAAGACGGCAAAAATTGACTGCCAATAATAGGGCCGAAATTCCGGCCCTAATCCCAGACCCAGTGGACTTTCGATTGCGAGCTGGGCTTCATCCCCTGCGTCACGCCCCCGGGGTGGTCGTAGTCCATTTCGATTCAGTTAGGGCTGGGCTTAGATTTCCGTTACACCCCTTTTTTGTTTCTTTTTTCAATTTTTACGAAATTGTACCTGCCCAATTCATGCCGAACTCCTATCGGGCCATGGCGGGATTTATTTGTCGTTGCAAAGATGTCGGTGCCTCGCCGACCCTAGATTTATTCCATCAGTTTTTAAAGTAGCCCCCCAACAAACCCATGGGTATCTAGCCGCCAGTTCTCGAACGGGGCATATTCTTTTCAAGGGTAATCCCAACTCAATCAAGGGATGGAAGGATAGGTTCTTCTTTGTGTCTGTCCCGGATGGGCTGATCCTTCGCAAATGGAACGCCTTCCCTCGCAAGACTCTCGACCCGATTCTTTCTGAGGAAATCTACAAGGATGTACTTGCTGTGGAGAAAGACAAGTGTTGCGATATCATGACCTACCTGACTCCTGATCGGCTTGTTAAAGGCGGGTTAGGTACTGCCCGTTCTCTTGGGTTTACTTGCTTTGAGAAATCAAGTGCCATGGTCCGGGCGGTCCTTCCCGTGCGAGAAACGATTTTCTTCTTTCTTTTTGTTTCCCACGTGCTAAGGTCCGCTCGGTACTAATATTTTTCTTTGTTATTTTTTAGCTCTCAATCCAGACGTATCTATGGACAACAGTAGAGTTCTTGCAGCTGGTGGGGTTGGCAAACGGAA